TTGTTCGATTGAATTCTGATTGTACTTTGTGTTGCTCAAGCCTAAACTGTGACAGCACTTTAGATGGCAAAGGACAGTCGCTTGATGTCCGTCGAGGTAGCCCAGAAATAGTAAAGGGCTTCCTGCTCCTTGTGTTTGGAAGCTAGGAGATTGATGGTGCACCTCTTGTGTCAGCCTATGAGAAAGATGGTTTACAAAAGCATGCAGCAGGCATATAATGTTTTCAACAGCATTACACCAGGCTTGAATGCAGGCTTACGGATCTCTTTTTGTGGTCGTCACTTCTCACTTTACTCTGCCTTTCTCCATCAGGTACCGGGACCACACTGGAACGGAAGTTGGCAACAAGATCGAGAACTGGAGGAAGCGATACAGAAACGTTCGCAAGCAATGCACCCAGGACAAGGTGCACATGACCCAGACCGGCCGCGAGACCACCATCGCGGATGTCGACACCGACCTTGGACATGAGAAGTGGCAGCTGTTCCAAACATACCACGAGGCGTTCGGGGATGATCCATCCCTGAACCCGGAGCGGGCTGATGAGCTGGGGGACCCTGCAAAGGTTGAAGAGCTCGATGGCGAAGGGCCAGTTGCGAGCGAAGGTGACGGGGGCGAGGAAGGTGGCCCTGAGCCCGAACTCGATGATGGTGAGGGTCGCACGATTCAATGCCAAGAAGGATCGTGCTATAAAAATCTGCTAAGACATAGCGTAGTGCGTCCGCCTACTTCCTTCGTTGATTAGAGAGGAGCTTGATGTTCTGCTTTAGTGAAGAGCTTGTTGTTCTGCTTGAGGGTTTGCAAAGACTGATATCAAGTCTCTTCAATAGATTTCTCTCTTCTTGATCAACAACAAAGACATACAAGTTCTTGGCTGATTCCTGCTTTCTCATCTGGACATTGTAGATCGACAAAGCTTCCAGTTCCTGCGGAAATTGAGAAGAAGTGACTGATTCGAAGCATGATTTTGCAACTTGAATAGAAGTCAGCCCGCTCCTGATTTGCACTCGCTCTATCTTCCTTCCGCGCGTGCCATTTCATGTTCCTTCTCTCCTCTTCTTAGGTGACGAAGACGAAGAGGGATCAGAAGAGACCTTCCCTTGGGATGCTGAGGCGCAACTCAACCTGGCCTCCAACAAGGACAACGCCAAGGAGACGAGCGAGCTCTCGCTGGGGGGAAGTGAGGAGCAGCTGCCTGAGAGGGGCAAGAGCCAAGCAGAGGCTGACTCTGCAGCGGCAACCGCAGCAACGGCATCAGTAGGAGTCCCCTCCAAAAATGCACGGAAGAAGGCGAAGCCGGGATTGAAGCAGAAGAAGAGCCCAGCGTCGCTGCCGTCAGCGGCGGCCGCGACAAACGGAAAGAAGTTGGCAGGTCAGTCTTTTTGAAAAGTCGAGCTGATTGTTAGTATCAAGAAAGAGAATGAGACCGGTTTTCATTGTGGAAAGCTCGACTGCTTTCTGCGGTTGATCCCGATGAAAGCTTTTAGCGGCGGCCGTGACAAATGGAAAGAAGTCGGCAGGTCAGTCTTCTTGAAAATCCGAGCTGATTGCTAGGATCACTTGAGACGGGTTTTCCTCGTGGAAAGCTCGACTGCGATCTGCTGTTGAGTCTAATGAAAGCTTCTACTGGTCCGGCGTCCGAAGTGTGCTAGTGAACAAAGGTTGTTGTAGAGACTTTGCTTTCAATGCAACGACCATTTTCGTCTTCTCCTCTAATATGACGGCCCCACCAGTCGCGTCTTTTCGAAAACTTGATTGCACGTACATCTCCTTCAAGAAACCTAAGGAGTCAATCTGAAGTTCGTCACATCGAAAAGCACAGATTGCACTTGTGCGTTTCTTGTGTTAAAGCTTTAAGAAGATCTTGGAGGCGTTTGTTTCGATTGTTTGCTCCGGCTCTTTTCTCTCGAATTCATAACATCGAACATGACTTTCTCCATGTACATCCGCAGGTGGCCGCCTATCGGAGGAAGACGGGAAGCCTGGCCCTCGGCTTACAACGAAGGAGCAACGCGCCACCGCATCGGTCGTCGACCAGCTCGAGTTTGCGAGGAAGGACGAAGCTGCTCGCAGGGACAGAGAAGCGGAACGCGAGCACAAGGACCGCAAAGAGCGTCGGGCTCACGAGGAGCGCATGCTGCAGATGCAAATGAATCAGCAGCACCAGCTGGCAATGTTCAGCGCCCAGATGCAACAGCAAACCATGCTGCTGCTCGCGGGCAACTTCAATCCGAGCTCGTCGCCTGCTAGCACCACCGTCCCCACGTTTCCGAATCAGTTCCCGAATCAGGCAGGATACGGGGTGCCTCCGGCTGCTCAAGGGCCGTCGTACGTGGCCCAGATGAATGGCTCACCGCAGGCACCTCCGTTTTTCCAGCCTGTCTTCGCCGCAGCAGCGCCTAATCCGTTCGCACCAAACTTCGCGGCCTCAATTGCTGGTACTCAAACGGGCATCAACCCTGCCTCCCCTGCGAACACACAATCTCCTGAACTGGCTCGTGGATTCCGCCCCTTCCAGTCAGGAGCTGCCCCGAACGTTATGGGCAGCCCATAGGTTTTGCAGGCAATGGGCAACATGAATGTGGAATCATAGTCGTGTTAGCCAAAATTGACATAGTCTCCTGAAGGACATATTTATGGCGTGTATTTCTGCAGACTACATTTTGGATTGTGCGGCGGCTATGGCCCTTGTTTCTTGAATTACAATTAGAGTGATTAGCTAAGTTGTGATTAGAGTGATTAGCTAAGTCAAGCTAATTGCATAATTGCATGAGTAGAAGGTTGTTTTGGGCTTTTGGATTGTGCTTCTTCAACATTAAGTCTTGAACTCAACACGATTCCGTTCAATCAATCGCGAGGGATTCTTCCGTACCCGTGTATAGCTCACTGAGTCAGCTTGATTAAGGACACTAGGTCCGCTTCTTTCTTGCGCTCATGTGTTGCCATGTTCCATTCTATAGCATCCCATTGGATAACGTTTTACTTGGATGTTCCACTTCGAGATGAGCAACGCACAGAGATGCATTCTACACCAGCATATCCATTTGCAGTTATACACCATGTATGATATCAAAAGTGGATGCCTTATGTGCATTTGCTGTGACGGGATTGTCGAACGGACATGAGAAAGGCCGTACATGTGTGCGGCCCATCTCGTTGCATAACTCGATGCATCGTGGATTGTCTGTCTGTCCGACAATCAAGTCGTCCAGCAATTCATGTGAGTCCTAATATGATGGGTTCACCTGCATGCTTTTCTTGCGTACGCATGCTGGAATTTGGACTTGTCGATTGAATGCAACTTGGGCAAGGGCCGAGCCCATAATAGCTGCATGTAGACATGAATGGACTCCGGACATATGAGCCTAGATATTGAGCGAACACTTTGAAACGTCGCGTGCATGTACGAGCAATCTCGGACTTAACCTGCTTATGTAATTGCCCGTTTGTTGAAGGGTTCGAATATATTTGGGAGTGAGGTAGAGCCAACATACTGAGGCTTAGCACTGCATAGAATTATGCGCAACCGGAGATTGGGTCATGGTGGAACGGGTCATGGAGGGCCATGTAGCATGAGCTTGGCAATCACACTAAAACCATGTCACTTGTATGCATGCTCATGGATCATTCACTAATGTCATGCAAGCGGTTGGCATATATGCGATATGATCATTGATAGCCGGCCAGTTCCAACGACAAACATGTATTGCCATCGTACGTGATCGCGCAGAGGTTAGTAGACCGCATACATAATTGATTGCACGAAGCTCGGAATGAAAACTTGGTCAGAAATTCCCACTCAATCTGTACATCTGGAATATGTTTTTTATGGTGGCGACTGCGATACTAAAGATCACTTGACTTTGAAGGCTTCAATGCATCCTGTTTCTATGGACATATTGTGCAAGCACGTGCCGGACTACCCCAGCCGCTGACTCGACCTCTCCAACCAAAGCGTTCTCATCAGGACCAGGGATCTGTTGCTCTCTTTCTGCTCTAGACAACCAGTCTTCCTCAAAAGGGTCGTTCGAGCGCTGGCAGATGTTGTGCAACATGCAGCAGACCTTGACCAATTGCTTCATAAACTTATCGTTTCTAATTTTGCCCAACTTCATAACATGGAATCTGCCCTTCAGCCTGCCAAAAGCATTCTCTACAACCCTCCTGGTCCTAACGTGTGCATAATTATAATCCCACTGTAGACTGCCGGGTTGGGGATCAGTAGGAAACCCCTTCATTATGTGAGGTTTGAAGGGGAAAGCTGCATCGGCAACTATGTACGGCCTGATGGTAACGCCGTCTACCTCTACCGCCTTCTCAATCGGCAGCCATGTACCCTCACTGAGATTCTTGCACAGCAAGGAATTATTGAAAGAGGCTGCATCCCCAACACTTGACGGTTCGCCAGTTCGAATGTATAGAAAATAACCCCGCGCGTCGACTACTGCCAACAAAAGCATGGCAAAAAACCCCTTGTAGCACCACCACTTGTTTCCAAAGATTCCTGGAGGGCGGGTCATAGGGATCATGCAGCCATCGATTGCGCCAGCGCAACCCGGCAGCCCCGCCAGCGCCTCAAAGTCTGTCATGACCGCATCCAGCTCCTGCCCGGTTGGCCAGACAATTGCAGCGTGTTGCAGGACTTTCTCAAGTGCATCAAGCGTCTGGTGGACCACTTTATTTGCTGTGCTCTTTGCTATGCCCCACAGATTTCCCAGGGTTTTGAAAGACTGGGCGTTGGCAAGCCAGTTCATGGTTACAGCCAGACGTTTTGTTGTCAGTGTGCAAAGAACGTTTTGTTCTCAGTGTGCAAAGAACGTGTTTGTTAGGACCTTGAATGTCAGACTCTACCCATTCAGGAGCGCCAGAAACGAGCTGATTAAGCAAGAAGTTGAAGGTGAGTTTGCTGACCCGGAAATTCTCGACGTACTCTTGGTTCTCTAAAGCAGGGTCAAAACGGCCCAACTCGTGCCACGATCCCTTCATGTCCTTGTACAGATCTGCCTGCCGCTGTCTGCGCCAGAAGCGCTTTCTCCTGCGTGGCAAGCGGGGGAGAGGCTCCTCCATTGCTGCCAAGAGCTGCCTTTTCAAGCGGTGAAACTCAGCGTATGATTCCCACCACTTCTTGGCCCTGTCCATTTTCAAGATCTTCTTGTCTACCTCGTCCTTGAACACCGACAATGGCAAGATAGAAGGAAAGCTGCCAGCTGCTCCCGGGACAGCCTGTGACGCAAACGTACAGCTGTTGGACAGAAGGACAGAGAGCAGGAGAGGCAGAAGACGGCGGTCGGGCGCCATGGCTCTCGCTAGCTTAATTCGAAGGCAGATCTGTACTTTGCGAGCTGGCAACTAGGCTGCTGGCTGCAGTTGACAAGAAAGTCGTTACCACACAGCAATAACCATTTTCGAACCGACTCGATTTTATCGTCGAAAAACTCAATAGAACTACGGTTCCTGTTCGCGCGGCGCTGCATGTGAACGCAGATTCGATCCGGCCGCCATCCGTTGCTTTTCACGCCCTTCCGACCCCCCGTAGCAGTTTGGCTCCGTAGCCATTCCGTAGCACCCGTAGCGACTGTTGCAGCAACGCATGTGAACAGGGCATAAAGCAGGTTCTGAGCATCTATGAGCTCCCACTGTTGATAGGACTCGGAGCCTCCAACGTACCGTCCAGTCTTTGCGACAGTAGTTGGTATCTCGGATTGGATTATGGGCCTACCAAATGAAGTTCGGACTAAAATGAAGGGCCAGGATCGCCCTTGACCGATCGGACGGTGCACGCGCGGTAATGAATG